TAATGTAATTTGTACTCATCTGGCTCGCTTTAAATTGGCTGGAGGTTCAGGGGGATGATGTGGGCATACAAGGAGTGGAGATTTGTGCTTAAAACTGCGTTTTTACTCCCAAGGCTTTACACTAGTTTTACACAAAACAGCGACATTTGGTGGATCTGTGTTCAAGCTAAATATAGCACAGGAGAAGTCACGTCAGTGCAGCAACACTCGTGGGGAGAGGAGGGAGTCTGGTGGGCAGGCAGACATTCAAATGTCACCCTTCAGATGGGTTTTTCTAGTGATGCTTCCCTAAATCATTTGATTGTGTGGAGCAGAACTCCAGGGTTGGGGATTTACCGTGAGTAAAGTAGAGCCCAACCCACTCCTGTAACTCCTGCTCCGGTTCCTGCTGTCCCCAGAACAGCCTGGCACTGTCACTGTCACACTGTCACTGTCACTGGAGAGCAGCTGTTGCTCTGTGTGTGTCACCCTGGGGTCCCAAGGGGACTTGCTGGGGCAGGAGGTGAAGCAGAGCAGGTGGGATTCAAGTGAGAAAATAATAATAATAATAATAATAATAATAATAATAATAATAATAATAATAATAATAATAATAATAATAATAATAACAACAATAATAACAATAATAATAACAATAATAATAGTAATAATAACCACCATCTTGGTGCTAAGAGCTGCCCTTTGAGATTGGAGCAAATCCCCACTGAGTGCAAACAGAACAGACAGAGACAGTCTCTCCCTCAAAAAGCTGAACAGGTGAGACAAAAGGCAGGAGAGTGAACCCAGCTCCCATCCTTCCAGCTCCTCTTCACTACCAGCATGAAGGCAGCAGGATGCTCGTGGCTTTTGCACAAGCTGGTTTTGTGCAGGGAATGTGTGACTGATGTTCTTACCCCCCCCTGCTCAAAGATCATCTCATTTCCGTGCCCCACAGGCACAGATCTCACCCACAGAGGGTTTGACTAAGCCAGTCCTTTCACAACTGCCTCTGTGTGTGGCACAAAATGACATTTCTGGTTAAAACTGACAGGGAGCATCACATCACCTGTGGGAGGGTTATGGGAAATCCAAACCAGAGAGGAAAATAATCTGGCTTAAGAGGAAATGATTCTTGTTCTATCAGTGGGGAGAAGGAGGGGATCAGAGTCTGGCCCCACCTCAAATCATATTCAGCGCTGGAAGTTTCTGTTTCACATCACACAGAGAAATTTGCCCTTTGGGGGTGGATGCACTGGGCAAGACAGCAGCAGGGAGAAGCAAAGAAGCAGCCTGTCAGATGGGTGCTTAAATTAGAGGCACTATGAATGATGAGTCTGTTCCAGCTGAGCAGAGAGGGATGGAAGGGAGAAGGGGCCCTGGGGAAGGCAACAAGCTGCTGCTCTGAGGCTGGGCTGAGGGCTTGAGTGGGAAATACCTTGAGAGCACAACCACATCCCCAGGAGTGGGGTTTATTTACCTGTGGTGATTCCGTTTTCATGCAGCTCCCTGCGTTTCTAAGTCCCAATTCTTTTGGCACAAAAACGCATAAAACAAGCTTGTCCCCCGTGGTGAGAGTGGCACTGTGCTGCTTCCCTACCACGTGCCTCAGTTTCCCCGCTGTGCGCTGGGTGTGGGTGGGGAATGCACAGCACAAACAGGTCCTGGTGAAGCTCCCACAGCGCACACACGAGCCTCAGGCTGCACAATCCAAATTGGGAGAAGGAAAGCTGGCTGCTGCTGCTGCTGCTGCTGCTGCTGGGGGAAGGGGATTAATCAGCAGGAGATGACAGCAGAAGTCCAGCCTTTCATTAATTACAGGAGGGCACGAGCCGATTCAGGGAGCAGCTCCCACACGGCGCTGTGGGGGTTGTGTTTTATTCTGCAGATATTTTCTCCTCTCCCTGGAGGCACCAGGAGAGTTTGAAGGTGCTGCTTCCAACCACAGCCCCGTGGAGCAGAACTGTGTCACACAACACGAGCCATTCCCCCGGGGAGGAGCTGCAGGCCTGCCAGGAAAATAAACACGTTTGGCACAGCACAAACCAGGCCATTATGGTGTCAATCAGAGGGCTGAGGATGCAGCCAAAAGGCAGCTGGGATGCAGAGCTCAGACCAAGCCCTTCACAGTTTGTTCAAAACAGGTACCCCAGAAACACAGACTACCCTCTATCACCCATGCTCTGTGCTGCAGAAATTCCTCTCACAGAGGGTTTGTGAGTATCTGCACAGGAATCCAATAATTAGTGTGGCAGAATGGCTGCAAACCCAGAGCAATTTCCAGCAGAATTAACCATGAGGGGAACTGGCCATTGCCACAGCTGATCTATGGATTTTATTTTTTTTTTTTTTTTTGTGGCTGCTATGGAACTTCACGTTTTTCTTGGAATCTGAGCACATTTCTATGAGGTCTAGCCCAGCCCAGCCACGTACTGACACCAGGAGATAAAATTATCTGCCTTGACTGGACAGCTCCTTCTGGCTGGTGAAGAATCCATATGCATATATGTGTAATTAGCATAATGAGAACCCAGTTTCAGCGTGGCCTTGAGGCACTAACTCATTGAGCAAATAAGAAACAGACAGTATTAATCCTGGGCTGGTTGGAAATGTATCTTTCTGGAAATATTTGGATTAGTGTTTTTCCTCACCATTTTGGCTTAGGTGAGGTGCTTGATTACCCAACATACATGTCAGGGGTTTAAGTTCTGGTTTAGTTATGTAAAGAGGCAACTTCCTCCTGCACCACATCGCTAAGAACAGCCTGGAGAAAATATAATAAAGACCCTTTGCTGGATTAAGCACAAATCAGCCAACCCAGCTGCCACTGGGGCTTTGGGGCTGGAGGTATTTCAGGTACCTTATCTATATTATGGGTCCGTGAAAGCTTTTCTAATTAGTCTTCTGGAAGATGAAATGCCTGCCATGACGGTGGCAAGTGCCATTTCCAGCCTGCTCACAGGGCTGAAATGCCTCGTTAAGTCATCTGCAATCAGTGGTGGGGCCCTAAAGCTTTGCATACTTGATTCCCTGCCATACAGCAATTTTCTCATGTGAGGAGAAGCAGGAACAGTCAGGCACCTCTTCCCTATTTTCCCTCTCTCTGCCAAATTGGTTTTTTTTTCCTTTTTTTTTCCTTTTTTTTCCCTTTTTTTCCTTTCCCCCCCCCCCCAACTGTTCCCTTAGAAACAGCCAGCTCACCCTTTCACCCTGCTCCTCCTCTCCCCGTGGCCTCTCTGCTGCTCCCTCATAGAAAACAGGGGCTGAGGAGCCCAGCCCTGCTGCAGCACAGGGAGATGGTGTTTGTGGCAGCCCTGCTGTGACAAGGGAGGTGGCACGGGCACCCCTGTGCTGTGACCTCAGCTGCTCACCCCTCTGAACGCCTCCTTCAGCTCCCCAGCACATCCAGGGAGGGGAAATGTTAACCCCAGCTCCAGGCTGAGCTCCCAGCCCCTCCGGAGCGTTTCAGTGTGCAATGAAATCATCCTGTGTGCTGGGAAGGCGTCAGCTCGTGCTGTCAGCTCCAGCAGCTCCTCGCCAATTTGTTTCACAGAGCTCAGGAGAAATTGGAAAGGGCTGAAGCAATGGAGAGGAACACGAGCATCTCAAAAGCAGATTTTCTGTGTTGGAAAAGATTACATGATCCACAGAGACATGTGACCCAGGGAGAAGGTTCAGAGCACATCTGTGATTGAAATAAACCTGGAGAAGTTCAGTCTGCTCTGAGCTGAGCCAGTTCTGTCTAAACTTGGGTCTCCAAAGCACAGGCTGGGATTTGGGAGATAACTGCTGGATGAGTTCATGCTGTTTGTCCTGTCAGAACAGGGCTCTTACTGGCAATGCCTGGCACCAGCTCTCTGCTGAGAATGTCCAAGAAATCCTGATGCACACCAGTCAGGGATAGCGAGCTCTGAGTGCAGGTTTCCTCCTGATTCTGACAAAAGGCATTGGTTTAAACCACAATTCAGGAACATTTATTGCCCTGCAATGTTCTTTTTTTTTTTTAAGTGAAAAGGTCTTTACCAAAACCCAAGGTCTTGTCCTCCACAGGAATGTTAAATATCATTTTGATCTTGTTAAATTTCCACCAGGCCTCAGGAAAACACTCACCAAAGGCAAATACAGCCATGGACTGGATAAGTGGCCTTGTGGATGATTTTTTGTGTGCCACAGCCTCAAGCAGGATGTATTTAGGAAGAGTGGGAATTCAGAAACCTTTTCAGTCTCACCTGCACTTTGCTGCTGTTTCTGAAATGCATTTAGACCCTGCTCTCCATAGGAACAATTCACATATTCCCTTCCCAGTTTGCTCCTTCCAGGAACAAAAATTCAAGGTGGGGCACATTCTGGAGGAACTAATTTTGGCTGCGTGGAGGATCTCTGTGCAGGGATGATCATTTTCTGACCTCTTTGTAGTTCTTTTTCACATGGAAAAACGTACGAGGTGGATTTGGGGGGGCTTTGGCTTCCTGCCACCCCATATTTACTCTGGAAAAAGCAGCTTGGAGGGTTTGTGGGACAGAAAGTGCCTGTTGAGGTGGCTCTCCTCCTGCCAGGATGGTCATTGTGGCACAGGTTTGGGTTTTATATTTTTCAGGCTCTGTGCTGCTTTAGTGTTAGGGTCTGAGCTTCCTACGAGGGGATGGTGAGCTCTGTGCACAGAGCAGGGAGACAAAACAAGGAATTCTATTCTTTCAGGAAAAAAAAAAACAATTCAAAAAAATTGAATTCTATTCAATTCAAAAAATTGATTTCTATTCAATTCAAAAATTTGAGTTCTATTCAATTCAAAAAATTGAATTCTATTCAATTCTCTAGCTGGTCGAGCTGCCCTAGCTTGGTCTAGGGGACCAAGGACAAATGATCCCAATCTCAGCCCAAGAGCACAAACACTGTGGGCTGGAGAGAGAAAATAAGAAGGATGGGACTGCCTGGGCTAAAGCTGGAACGGGACAATGAACTCCAATATGCAAATGGAGCAGAACTGATAAAAGTGAGAGACCTCATGCCTGGTTGTCCATTTTTGGACAATCATCTTCCCACAGAGGAAGGGCACTGCCCCAAGGACTGAGTGCACACTGAGTGCTGCCCCTGCTTTCCCACAGCAAAGGCTGCCACCCCCATGGTGAGGTTCAGGGGTCTGCAGGCATCAGCATCAGGTCCAGAATCTCAGCATCAAACGTCCCTTCCCAAACTATGGGGGCCAGCCATGGTGTGACTGTCAGCACATCCTGGTGCCTGGAGAGGGAAAAAACCAGAAATGTTCATGAAATGTGACTGTTCCTGTTGGTTTGGGGTCAGTAAATGGGAAAGAAGCACAAAAAAAAGGGAGGTAGAGCAGTGTGTGAATCAGCATTAACTCGCCATGGAGGGTGTTAGCCTCAGATATTTTCACCCTGAGCTCTTATTTGAGGTTACAGAGCATGGACATTTCAATTCCTGGGCTGAAATTAAGCACTTAACACATCAGCAAAAACCTGAGGATCTGCTAAAATCTCATTTAAGGACTTTTCTGCTGAGGAGAGTTTAATGACCACTGAACTCTCAGAATGGGAAGCTGTGCCTATTTGCTATCAGCCTGATGCAGATTAAAACACAAGTAATAATAATATGAAAATTACTATAAAATATAGCCCATTGCTCTGTTATTAAAACACAGCTTGCAGCATGACAGCTTATTTTTCCAGCATTTATATATAGCTCCAACACATTCAGATATAATTTAAAATGCTGTATGTGAGCCAGCATTCAAATGAGTAACAAAGTTAGAAAAAAAAAATCCTTAATCTCCTGTGAGGGAAGTGGAAATACTGAATATAAATGCAGCAGAGTCTGATTCTGCCCCTATTACAGCTCTGCAATGCTGTTTCAATTTGCTGCTTTGTTTTCAGTGTTTCATTCTTACCTTTTTGGTTCTAAAGGGAGATGTCATTTATGTGGAATTCACCCCAGCCTGCTCACATTCACTCCAGACCAGGAGCTGGAGCCCTGTGCTAATGAAATTTGTTGCACCTGTCAGAACTCAGTGCATCCCTCTGGGTGTCCAGAGTTGCCAAGGACCCCATTGGGGGGCTCAGAGACCCTGGCACACAGCCCAGAGCACCTGGGGATTTGATTATGACCCAAGGAGCAAGTTACCAGCTTTGTATGAGGACCTGAAAATCACACAGGTTTGAATGGTGTAATAATAAAATGATCACAGGGTGAAAATGTAGATTTTGAGATTTTTGGTATGGGGGTTATGGGGACAAGATGGAGGAACTTGAGCGTGCCCAGCCTTTCTCCTTCTCCTTCTTGTTCTCCATTTTCTGCAGTGCTGTTGGCACTTTGGGGTTGCTTTAGAGTAGAAGTGCACTGTCTAACATAGGTGATAGGTATTGGGAATTAAGTGTAAATATGATATACATAGTTTGTAGTATAAAAGGACAACACAGAGAGTGCCTGTGGCTGCCCTGCTGAGCAGATCTCGGCTGGGCAGAAAGAAAATTTTATAGATAAGAATTAATAAACAACCTCAAGAGCGAAAAGTGAAGAGTCTAGACTCGTTCTTCAGAAGCAGAGACATCCTGCACATCTCAGGGCAGCAATGAACAACCAAAACCCGAGAGCATCCAGCACGTGGCCACACCTGGGGCTGCCAGGTCCCACCTGACACAGCTCCAGGATAAAACAGCACCAGAACAAAACTGGGGGAGCTGTGGGGAGCAGCAAATCCAGCCAGATCCTCCAAGCCAGACCCAATGATTGCAGTCTGAGAGGATACAAGAATAACACTTCACTCCTTCCTGCAGCAATGCCTGTGATTGAAAGATTAAATTATACAGGGAGAAGAATTTGGGGTGGGGAAAATGTACTGAGTGATCTGTCCTGTTTCTGGGTTGATTATCCTCTTTATTGGAGAGGGAAGGAAGCAGGCATGTTCACTTTAAGCTCTGTAAATTTGATTTTAAAGGGCAGCCCTGGGTTTCCCAGTGAGTCATGGTCATCCTCTCAGTGCCAGTGAACTCCTCCAGAAGACAGAGCATGAAAAGCTTCAAGACTCTCCCCTCATTTAACCCAGTATTTGCCAGCTGATTTAGCACAGAAATTTATTCCAATATGGAAGAAATATTCAGGCTGAGCACACCCTGAATATATGGGGGAAATAAAATATATATATATATATGTGTGTGTGTACCAACAGGGTGTGTTTATTAGCTTGTAAAGGAATGTGGCTGTTGAAGGTGAACTGCTCCAGATAAAAGTGAGGCCAAAGGAGGCTGTAACAACCTGAGCTGCACACAGAGTTTGTCCAAGTCACTTCTTAGTGCTGCTGTCCCAAATCTTCCCCTAAACTCCCTGCTTTGGCTGTGTTTGCTGCAGGTCACACAGAGCACCTGCTTTATTTTGCCCTGAAATGGGTTCAAAGCTCTCCCACTGCTGGCTCCAGCCTCAGCACAGCTCCAGAAGGCATTTCCCACTTCCAGATATTACAAATCTGTGATATCTTACATACAGATAAGAGAAGTAATTTTTTACTTACTGATATTACAGATCTGCCACCTCAAAAAGAGTTCCTGGCCTCGACAGAGTGTGTGTGTGCTAATGTAATAATTGGGAATGAAGAGGAAGTGTGTTAATGAGTGTACAGTGACCAAACCCAGCCTGAGAGCAGCTGCTGGCACTCCCCTGTGCTTGGGCTCTCCTGGAACAAGGTCCTGCTCAGGGTGCCCCAGGACTCTGGAACTGTGAGTGCTGCAAAGTGCCCAAACCAAACCCAGCAGAAGACAAAGTTCAAACAAAGAAACTCACTTTGGCGCCAGCGCTCTTGGCTGCAGATAAAATAATATGTAAAAAGGGAGAAATATCCATTGAATTATACATGAATATGCCTGGGAGAGAGGGGCAGCAGTTTAAAGGTCAGGAGATAAAAAAGCCTGAGCTTACTGGGGGAAAAGCTGGATTGGCTTCTCTTCTGTATAGTGGAGTTTTGTGGAGCTGCAGGATGGGGTGGGAAGTGAAAGGGGTTGTTATGCTTTGCTTAAAATATCAGCCAAGTTTGGCTTTAGGACCTGCTGAAAGCATCACCTGCCCACACCTCCAGGGCTCCCCAAGGGACAGAAAGATTTGGGACAGAACACACAGCACAACAGGGACAGAGAGGTGCTGGCAGCAGTCCCAGTCTCTGAGGAAATCAGACTGGGGTTTAGGGGTCAAAATCCCCGTGGGACTGTCAGCAATAATCACGTTTGTGCTCCATGCCCTGCAAAACTGCTCCTGGTCACCTGAAGGGCTGAACTACCTGAGATAATCACATTTCCAACAGCATTCAGAGGAATAAGCACCTGCCCAGACACAATGGTTTGGAATAATCAGAAATACCTCTGTGAAACATCATTTTTTTTTTCTATTTGCATGGTTTGGTTATCACAAGAACAGCAGGTCATGGGAAAAGCCATAGCTTGTCATGTCCCAGCCCTGGGGCCATGGCACAGTGTAAATTCCCTCCTGTGCAGCTCTGGGCACCCAGGCTGGCTCAGGTACCAGCTCAGAGGGCATTTCCCACAGCAGCTCCCCTTCACCTGCCCAGGTGCTGCCACAGCACAAACACAGCCATGGACAGAGCACAGATCCAGAGGGAGGAACAGGAACCTGATGGGAACAACCGGGGGTTATTCCTGCCTGTGCCAGAGCTCCTCCTGTGCCTGCTCATCTCCCCTCTGTGGTTCAGGTGTCTCTCTCTGGTGAGAGGACACTTGGGGCAGTTGTGCATGTGCAGGTGTGGGATTACACCCTGATAAAGAAGCTGCATTAACTTTAACCTTCCAGTCCTGAGACCACAACAAACAAATCCTCCCTCACCTGAGAGACCCAGAGCTGTCCCAACAGGCCCCAACAGCATTTTGGGGTAGCTTTTTGTTTTGAGAGAGTGACTAATTACAGGTTCATAAATAAAGAACAAGCCCCTTGTTAAGCACTGTTTGTGTTGTCAGGGAAGAGCAGGGCTGGAACAATGATCTGTGTTACTCATTAGGCACAGAACAAAATACTCACAAGGTTTCAGGGCAGGGAAGGTAGTAGGGCAGGTAATGCACTTTTCCACTCCCAGCCAGAGCCCTGTGAGAGCAAAGAAATGCTTTAGGATAGGAAATGTTGAAGGAAACCTTCCTAGGATTTTCCAACATCACCTAAGGATCTGGCAAAGATTTTGAGAAGTGACCCTGGCTAACTCCATATCTGATTTATTAATTAGTGTAGGATCTGCTGTGTTCACGTTTTAACACAATGTCCTGCTGCTGAGGCAAAATGCAGCTGCCCACAAGGTGAAAGTACAGCAAGTTGCAGCATCATAAAAATGTGATAATTCCTGAGAATTTAATAATTAATATTTTAATACTTAACAGAAATGCCTTATCTCAGATTCCCTTCCATGTCTGAGTTTGCTCCACAAGCCATACTCAGTTGTCAATATATTCAGTTACAAAATTCTGTGTTTGAAAGCTGTGATGTCTGACAGTCACAGAGCTGGTGACACTGGAGTGAGTTTGGACTGTGTGAAGAGACAGAGAATCACCTCTGTAAGACCTGAGCTGAAATGTAACTGGAATATTCAATACTCAAGCATTTGTTTGTGTGTCACTATGGTGTTAGCAGCCTGATTTGCACCCAAATTTTCTTTTTTCCTCTTTCCCTTAGGGCCTTCTCCCCCTACCAGTGCTCCTTTATCTATTACACAAATTGCTGTTCTTCCTTACAGCTCAAAGAGAGGCTTCCCATAACATTTGTATTTTACAGCCTTTATTTTTGTGTTCTGGGAGTTTTACACATGATCTACACAGGATGTTTCAGATATGACCGAGCTGGCCAGCAAATCCTTACCAGCTAACTGCAGCAACAGCAGCCAGGTAGACAAGAGATGCCACCAGCACCTTCCTGGAAATCACTATCTTCTGGAAAAAGAAGGGCAACTTCTGAATTCCAGCAGCTTTCACTCTGCAAAGAGCAAACAAAAAGGGAAAAGGGCTGCTCACTCTGAGAGAAATTGATCATTTCTGAGAGGAGGATGAAGTTTCTTGGTGGCTTCTCTTTTAGAAGTGATAAGCACAGAAGGCATCAGACTGTAAGAGCCAGGGCACTGAGGTAGCATCTGTAAAATATCTGAGCAAGTTCTTCATCCCACGGAGCTTTAACCCCAGCTCTAGTGCATGGGGACCCTTTCTGATTTCACCCCACTCTCTGTGGATTCCATTTTATCACCTCAAGCACGCACCCTTTGCAATTGGATCAAACCAGCCCCTCCTGTGCTGTCAGAGAGCTAACACAGTTATCACCGGGCTCATTAACTCACCTTTCACAGTCCAGGAACGCCTGCAAGGGGGGCACACCCTGCAAAGGTGCCTGAAGGAAAGGTAAACTGGGGTGTGAGACCAGCAAAGGAACATTTCACAATCCTAATGCCCCTTGGGTAAAGGTTAAGCCAAGGAAATTATTTCCTCTACAACAGCCATGAATATCAACTTTCCCCAAGCCCAGCAGTCTTAAAATCACTCCTGCCTGTTCCTGCTTTAATTTCTTTGGCTGGAAATAGACAAGTGGCAAAAAGTTCTTCAATTTGCTTTACTGTGTCACACAGAAATCCTCTCTGGTGCTTCTTCCTCACTTTCCTTTGAGAGAATCTAATTTGCTTTCACCAGGAAGCATCACAAAATCCTACTTAAAAATAATGACTAACTATATATATATATACATATATATGTGTGTGCATCTATATAAATATATATCTTAAGGCCTTCCACCACTTAAAGCCTTCATGGATTCATGCTGAGCAGCTCTGGATTCTTGCCTAAAAATGCTGCAGATCCCCAAACACAGAAAGAAGAACAGCCTTCTCCCTCAGGCAGTTGTTCTGTGTTTTGACCAGCTGTATCTCATTCCTGTGCTAGTTGTGTCATGAGAGCTGCTGTGCTGACACCAGGATTTGTCAGTGCCACGTTTCTTACCTTGTGCTTGATGCTTCCAGCACATGCAGAGCAGATAAATGTGCAGAGGGGGTTTTCAAACTGTTGTTTTTCAGGCATTATTTGAGAGATGGCTTCAGGAAAGCCCTTCTCATCAGCAGGCTTCCAAATTTCCAGCCAGGATCTCTCTTGCTGCAGTCCAGGTCTGGGCATCTCCCTTTCCATTCCTCAGGGCTCTGATGTTTCCTTCCCTCTTCTCTCCTGTGACCTCCTTCAATCTTTCTTTGTAATTGTCTAACTACAAGATCTGGGATTCTTTCTGTCAGTTCTGACTGGGCTCTCTCTAATCAGCCCATTCTCGTGAAATTGGTGCCAAAGCACCCCAAATTCCCCCAAATTTGCCCCCCAAAGCTGAGAATCTGTCACAGTTCACACATTCCACAGGACACCTGCCTGCTTTGCAGGACCTCAGCACTGGGGTGACATTCAGGATGTGCCCAAATGCAATCTGTGTGTTTTCTGTGGAACCTCTCCCAGCCAGGTCTGAGGCACATAAAACCTTGTACTTCATGGAAACAAACTCAATTTCCAGGCTATTTTTTTTTCTAAAACATCAAGCCCTGGCTGAATCCTGTTTTCCTTGGGGTTTGCAACCCCTCCCAGCTTGATGCCACTTTGCAATTGCATAAATATCCTCTCAGCATTTTCACCCAAAGCATAGAGGATAGACAAACAATCCCTTTGCAGAATCTCCTGGGGATTCCCATTTTCTGGACCTGATCCATGCTCTATCTCCATGGCATACAGAGGCTGAGAGCACAGAATCTGGGTGATGGGGAAGGACAGAGGATCAAGAACAGAGACAAGAAAGGGGAGTGATAGTTGTCCTCAAATTGGGCAGTAAAATTAACACAGAATAAAAGTGGGTGTTTGATTTTTTTAGTGTAGCTTCAGCTGTTGTAATGGGCATAGAGCACTTCATGTGTCTTTTTACAGAGTAAACATCTAATCCCTCAGGAGGAGAAATACACATATTTTGAAATATTACATCATTAGGAGCACAGCTGATGCATTCCCCTCTTATTTTCAGTTTCTGTGGTACAAATCTCCAGTGCACTAGAGCCAGCTGAGATTGAAACATCCTTTGCATCTAAAACCATCTCACTGAGGTTTACCTCAACTGATTTACAGTTTACTATGAATATAAACAGAAATTAAATAGATGTGGTTGCAGCTGATGAAAGAATCTCCAACCAAACAGAAATCACAGCTAAAGCATTTTTAATAGTTATTCAGGTTCCTCGAATTTGTTCAGAGAGTTTTTTAGAAGGGATATGGCTGAAAGTAGCTCTGTTACTCCCAAATGAACTTGCTTGACCTCCCAGAACAAAGCATTACTTTATCTTCAAGCCCTGCTTGGAAGGCATTCTGGACAGCTGATAAATACCTCACTTGTGGAGTGTTCCATGGAAAATATTCTTTGCAGAGCAACTATTTCAGATTTCCAAACGTGGATTTCAGATTTCTCCAACTGAAGTGGCAAAGTGTGAGTGCAGGGCTGTTCAGAAAGTGAGGAAAGAGATCTCCATGGGGAGAGCTCCATCTGTGCCTGGGGAGAGCTTTCCTTGCTGGACAGGCTGCAGGAACACAAATGTGTTCAGTCACACCTGAGGCTTGAACACGAATTCAGCACAGATCACTGCAGTCTCAGATTGCAGCTGCACCAGGGAGTGACCTGGGCTCTGGCAGGGATCCAGCTGGGCAGCACTGCACTGCACAGCACTGCACTGCACAGCCTGCATTTCCTCCCATCAGCTTTAGCCATGAGGCAAAAAAGAGCTTCTTCCAAAGAGCCAGATCGAGAGAATTCGATTTGGCTCAATTATTAACATCCCTGGGCTCAGTACAGATCATCAGTTCACACCAACCAAAATCAGGAGGGCACCAGCAAGGTTTGACTGGTCTCAGAGGCAGAGTTGCTTTATGTTCTGGATGGATTGGTCCCACCAATCTTCCCCAGGCTGAACTGCCAGCAGCCAAGCTGTACCTTCCCTCCTGAGCTGGGCAAACAGCTGCCCAAGTTCACATTTGTATTTCTGTATAAACAACAATAAAGGACAAAATTGGTAATGACCAAATACAATTTTGCACTGGTGAACTGCACAGAGAAGAAACCCTTGCAGGCACCTGTGGTTGCCAGAATTATTTTTTTAACCTAATTTTTTATTATTGCCAAAGACAGACTTGGAGCCAATCCTTCTACCATCAGGATCAGTCAGTGTGTCCTGTGGATGATCCAAACAGATCAGTTAGCTCCACAATAATAAATCCATTAGCTCCACAATAATAAATCCATGCACATGTACATGTGTGTTTATGTCTATATTGACCAAATGCTGATAAAACATAACTTATAAATGAACAGCACTGCCTAAAATTGAAAATTATTTCCAGTTTTCTTGTGGTGGGGAGGATAAATGAATCCAAGATGCACTCTCCTTTTCAAAGGTATTGTCCAAGTTCATAGAAGCAAAGGTTTCACAACACCTGCAATATGTTTGTGTTGAGATGAATCCCATGTTTGGTCTTTTTGTCTTTTTGTTTCCTCTTTCCCATTCCCAAGGGATGCAAAGACACCGTGCTGCCCATCAGAGGAAGCGACAGCAACTGACATTTCCCCTTTAGAAAAATAATAACTGCTATTAGAAATCAGCCAGAAGGTGTTTCTTTAGGATAAAAAACTTTATTAACAAACATACAACTGTTTTTTTAGTACAATGAGGGTGGGAAGCTGTGGCCTGGGACAGTGACAGCCCCTGGAACCCCAGTGCCAGGACAGCTGCCTTGCTCTCAGTTTAACCCAGCTTTTTTCAAGTCCTCTGGCAGAACTCGGCCCTTTTTCCGGGCCCTGGCTTTTTTCTTCTCTATCCTCTCCTTCTTCTTCTTCTGGATGTTCTTCTTGCGCTTGTCCTGCCGCTGCTGCATCTTCTCCACCACCCTCACAGTCCGTTCCTCCCACTGCCTCTTGCGCTGCGCTCGCCGCTTCTCCTTGCGCTTCAGGGCCTCCTTCAGACGCTCCTCATCGTCACGGATCTTCACCCCTTCTGCCTTATACAGGGCATTTGTCCATTTCATCTTGGTCTCCAGCTCCTGAGCTTTCTTCTCATCCTTCTCCTTGAGCTCCTCCAGTTTATTCTTCCTGGTCTCCAGCCTGCTCAGCAGCTGCTTGTAGTTCTTGCCTGTCAGAGGAGTGATATTGCCTTTCACTGCTTTTCTCTTCTCTTTCTTCTTCTGGACCTTGTTTAACTCATTCTCTTCATGAACTTTAACCCTGTTGAAGACAATGTCAGCTTTGCTCTCCTCCTTTTTGTTCTCTGGCTCTGCTGGCACCTCCTCAGTCTCTTTCTTCTCCATTTTTGCCTTCATCTTCAACTCCTTTCGCCGGCGTTTCTTTCTCTCTCTCTCATACTTCCTTCGCTGCCTCTTCTCCAGCACTGCAGGGGTTAACTCCTTGGCATTATCCTAAGGAGGAGGATGGACATGAATGAGAAGCCTTAAAGGGTTAAAGCAGAAGTAAAAGTGGGCTGTGCCCCAGTTCCTGATTTCAAACTCCTCCTAAAAGCACCACCTGTGATGTGAAGCTGTGACTCAGCTGTTAGAGACACTAAACACAGTAACAACATTTCAAACCCCAAACACAGTAACAACATTTCAAACCCCAACAACCAGTAGCTGCTCCCTTGCAGGCTCTCACTACTTTGCTTTTTCCTAAAAATCACCAAAAGCATGTTCTCTTTGAAGCTGACACCACCTTTTCTCACAGGTTTTTCCACAGAACACACAGAGGTCACCTGGCAATCCCTACAGGTAATTCCTTATGAGCTGGAATCAGCTCAAACCCTGTGAGATCCTGTCACCACACGCCCTGGGAGGCTGGGGAGGATTTCAGGTGCACAAACACACACATGGATACACATTCTGAGTCCCCATACCTGTCCAGAAGCCTTTTTAATCTTCTCATGGAGTCTCTGACGCAACAGACTGAGTGCAGAAACAGAAGGGGAACTCAGTTCACTTTTACTTCCTGAAAATGAGAGGGAGGAAATAAAAAATACTTAAAAAGCAGCACCAGCTAAACAGTAGCACTTTCTCTGGCTATGGGAAAAACTCTGGGAACTCTTTAGATGCTGTGAATGGAACGGAAAATCCAAACAAACCCAGAGTTTCTATTTCATTGGTTTCTTTAGAATTTCTCCTTTCATCATTCAACTCTGCCAGCAGTGGCCTGGCATGCCCTGGGGCTGCCTGGCAAGCCAAAGGCAAGTACCAAGCTTGTGGAACAGAGAGGCTCAGGACATCTTTTCTCTGTGATCTGGCTTTTCATTGTCATAAAGGAAAGCTGAGCTGGCAGGACAGGGATTGCATCCACGTGTAATTCCCAAAATCACTCACATGCACAAAACCTCTGCAGTTCGGTTAAACACCGTTTCCAGAGAGCCACCCAGTGGTGATGGCACAAATTGCTGTCCATAGGCAAAAGCTCCTGGGGCACGTGAAATAAGCAAAGATGTTCCAAATTTAGGCTTTCCAAACTAGACTTATGTGAAGGAAGTGAAAAGCAGCCAGCTCAGCCCAGGCCATGGCAAAGCTGAAATTCTTACCTGTAGCCAAACTCTCCTTTCTGTTCTGTGTGCCACCTTGTGGTGATGATTTGCTGGCTTGAGGGGCTGCTTTCTGTCCTGGAGTGGGTTTACTGGGGTTAGAAGCATCCTGTTTGGCTGAAGGAGCATTCTTCTTCTCAGTTTGCTTCCTGGGCTTCTTTTTCTTTTGTTTTTTGACCTGTCTGCCATCCTCGGGCTGGCCTGGCTTAGACACTAGAACGCAAAAACAAATTACACAAAATAGAACAATGTCACATTTCCACTCATAACATTCAGTTATTACCGAACATTAATGTTCCAGCATTGCAATGGCACAGCTAAATATTCAAGAATTATGTTTTAGGATTTATTTAGTTAGATCAAACATCCTGTAAAACCCCAGCTCTCCACATCCACCACTACAGTGAATGGAGACCATTGATTTCCAGGGCTCCCAGTGCACAACGTGTTCGGGAGCTCCGTGCTTGAGCAGATTGGGTTTTTTGTTAGAAACCGGCACAATCTCGGGCCAAGCCCCCCGTGGGGGCACGGCTGTCGCGCCCAGGCTCCCACAATCCGTCC